TGTATCCGTCTCCCTACCACTGCCCCCTACTGTCTCCCGCTGTCTCTCGCTGTCCCCTACGGTCTCTACCTGTCTCCTGCTGTCTCCTACTGTCTCTTACTGTCTCCTTTTGTCTCTGGCTGTCCCTTTGTTTCTCTCTCTGTCTGCCGTTTGTCTCTATTTATGTTATGGGTTCACTGCAAGAGCTACTGTTTTGATGCGTTAGCAGCAGAAGAGACACCATACATATATATATATATATATATATATATATATATATATATATATATATATATATATATATATATANTATATATATATATATATATATATATAGAGAGAGAGAGAGAGAGAGAGAGAGAGAGAGAGAGAGAGAGAGATGTAAATACAAATGAATAAATATACATATGTACAGAGACAAAGACAGAAATAAAACAACAAAGTTAGCAGTAGAGGCAGTGCAAGGACAGGGGGAGGAGACAGTCTCCTGTCTCCTCCGCGCCCACACAGCCCCCCCTTCCTACAAAAAACAAAAGCGGGTGTGTTCTAGGGGCTGCAGTAGACAAACGAAGCAGCCTTTTATACTATTCACTACATTTCTTCTTGACGCTGCAGCTGCTGCAACCGCTGCTGCTGCTGCTGCTGCTGCTGCTCCTGCTGCTGCTGCTGCAGCTTTTCCTGCTCTAGCTGATTATTATGGTCCGCTTCTTGCTGCGGTACCTCCCCCCCTTTCTCCCGGCCCTCCTGCTGCTGCTGGCTCTGCTGCTGCTGCTGCTGCTGCTGCTGGCTCTGCTGCTGCTGCTTCTCTGCAGGCACAGGAGGCCTGGGCGGGGGGGCCAGCATGGTGCTGATGAGGACTTGTAGGCTGCAGAGGTCAGGGGCCAGCAGCGCCTCTCCCTTACACCCCGGCATCTTAGCTGTTAGGACCTCACTGAGAAGACAAAGCAACAAAACACACAGCAATCCACTGTTTTGACGCTAGCTGCTGCTGCTGCTGCTGCTGCTGCTGCTGCTGCTGCTGCTATTGCTTCTGCTGGCGATACTTCTACGCTGCTTCTCTACTACCGCTGGTGCTCCGCCTGCTGCGGATCCTGCTGCTGCTGCTGCTGTTGCTGCTCTGCTGCTCCTGCTGCCTGTATAGTTGTAGCTACAGCCGCAGCAGCTGTGCCTGCTGCTACTGTTGCTGCTGCTGCTGCTGTTTGCAGTCTTGTGCACTCACCCGTTATAAACAAGTCGGAAGACATATGATGTCAAGCCTTGGCTACTTGAGTTTCCGCTGCTGCTGTTGCTGTTGCTGCTGCTGCTGCTGCTGCTGCTGCTGCTGCTATTTTGCTGCTGCGGGAAGTGCTCGTAGACCTCAAAGGCAACAACAGATGCATAAGGGGGCCAAACGCCACCATAAACTTTCAGAGCCGCGAGAACTGAAATGAGGGTGACATCGTGGGTCATGTACAGAGAGAGAGCTCCCTGTGGGGCCTCTTCTGCAGCTGCTGCTGCTGCTGCTGCTGCTGCTGCTGTTGTTGTTTTGTTGCTGTTACCGTGTTGCTGCAGCAGCTGCTGTTTCTTGCGTATGGGCGCCAATATCTTCGCCGCGAGCTCCTCAAAGAGGGGTTGTGCTGCTGCTGCTGCTGCAGCAGCATCTGCCCACCCCGTCCAGAAGTTAGTGATCTGATCATTGATATGCTGCAGCTGCTGCAGCAGCGCGAAGTTATTTTGCTGCAGCAGCGGTGGCAGCAGGTGTCTCCTCCCGCTGCATGCATATGTGAGGGTACAGTCAACAATAACTTCAGGCCATAGAGCATCTAATTCATTTATATTTAATTTTAGGTGCTGCATCAGCTGTCTCTTTATTTTTATATGTTTTGCGTTCAGTGCAGCAAACTCAGGGCTTGCTTCTGCCTGTCTCCTCAGCTCTGTTACTATAGGAGAAGCATAACCAGACAAAAGGGGGTCCGAGGTCACCTCATGTGTCTCCACTTGCATGCGCTGAGGAGACACCCCAGAAACCCTAAAAAATGCATCTATAAGAAAAGCACCACTAGCTAGTGTTCGCGCTATATCTGTTGATCTCAGTAGTAAGCGACGAGAAGGAGAAACACGAAACTCATCAGCACTAAACAATCGATGCACCAACACCTGCTGCTGCTGCTGCTGCTGCTGCTGCTGCTGCTGCTGCTGCTGCTGCTGCTGCGGAGGTGGAGACGCAGGCGCAACGTAGGCGCGACCCAGGATAGCACCAATGAGCCGCAGCTGTGCTGCCCCCTCATCCAGCAGACTGGAGGGGACACAGCTGCCTCTGAACAGCCCCCTTTCTGCTGCAGTTGCTACGTACTTCTTCAGGAGAGGAGCAGAAGCCAGTACACCTGACCCTGAGACACAGCAGCAGCAGCAGCAGCAGCAGCAGCAACAGCAGCAATAGCAGCAGCAGCAGCAACAGCAGCAATAATGATAGCTTTGTTTCAGATCACGTTCCCATAGAAAGCATAAAAAAGAAACACTGCCAGCAGCAAAGCCAACAACAACAGCAACAGCAGCAGCTCAAACCAACAGACAAACAAAGAGCAGCAGCAGCACAAGCAACCGCAGCAGCAGCAGCCGCCACCGCAGCAGCAGAAGACACAGGAGCAGGTGCCTCCCTCCTAAAGGACGAAGAGGAGGCAGCAAGCCGAGAAACAGCAACAAAAACTGCAGCAACGATAGCAGCAGCAACAGCAGCAACGGTAGCAGCAGCAACAGCAGCAACGGTAGCAGCAGCAACAGCAGCAACGATAGCAGCAGCAACAGCAGCAACAGAAGGAACAGATGCTCACTGGTATCATTCATCCCTAACTCCTCCTGGAACGCGCATTCCCATGGCGGTCCCATCTCTGCTGCTGTTGCTGCTGCTGCTGTTGCTGCTGCTGCTGCTGCTGCTGCTCCATCCCCCGTGGTTTCGGCAGACATCAGGGCCAAGCTGCTGTTGCTATCGCCGCCGCTGCTGCTACTGCTGCTGCTGCTGCTGTTGCTGCTGCTGCTGTCAACAGCGGAAAGATTCCGCGTTGGTGCGCCTCTGCGGGTGTGTGTTTCTCCAGCACCTGCTGCTGCTGCTGCTGCTGCACTTGAATCCTTTTCCCTTACATTAATTCCTTCTGCAGACCCAGCAGAATCTGCTGCTGTGGCTGCCTCTGCTGCTGCTGCTGCTGCTGCAGCAGCAGCACAGTCCCCCGACCCATGATGCCCTACTGGGGGGCATCGCTCTGCGTCGCTCCTCAAGGCATCCTGCTCTGGGGCAGGCCCCACATGGCGGTGTGCAGAGCTGCTGCTGCTGCTGCTGCTGCTGCTTGTGTCGCTGCTGCTGCTGCTGCTGCTCCTGCTGCTGTCCTTCGATAGCTCAGATTCCGCAGCAGCGCCCCAGCGCCAACAGTTGCGGTCATAGGGGGCCCTAGCGCCGTGCCGCACCAGCGCGTGTACCTGCAACGCAACAGAAGCAGCAGAAACAAGAGTAGTAACAGCAGCAGAAGCAGCAGCAACAATAACAAAAAAACAGCAGCAGCAGCAGGAGCATGCTCAGGCTTTCCTGGAGGGGACGAGCTGCCGACAGCGGAGTCAGAATGCAAAGAGAAGCGCAACCAGCAGCAGCAGCAGCAGCAGCAACAACGACAGAAGTTGTAGCAGAAACAGAAGCAGCAGAATCAAGATATGCAGGAGACAGAGGTGCACGAAGCAGCAGCAGGAGCAGCAACAGCAAGAAGAGTAACAGCAGCAGCGTAGTACCTGTTGGAGCTGCAGATGCAGTGCCTGCGCAGCTGCACTCAGCGGCGGCAGCGATCTTCTTTCTTGTACTGTCCACTCCTTTAAACAGTAATCTGGGTACTCTTCTGCTGCTGCTGCTGCTGCTGTTGCTGCTGCTGCTGCTGCTGCTGCTGCCTGAGCGGCAGCAGCATCGGCGCCAGGGTGAGAACAGCCCACCAACAACAGGGCAAGAAGAACACGGCTGGGGGACCCCTTAAGGGCTGAGGAGATCCAGCAGCACAAAGACATAGCGCCAGCCCCTGCTGCTTCGTTAGCGTCCGGCGCCGGCGGTGGTGGTGCCGCTACTGCTGCTGCTGCTGCTGCTGCTTCTGCTGCTGCGCCCGCTCTGCTGCGCCCTCCTTGAAACAAATGGCCGCAATACTGCACAGCAGGCGGCCCCTACGCTCGAGTCGTTGCAGTGTCCAGGCCGCCGCAGCAGCAGCAGCCGCAGCAGAAGGGGCCGCAGCAGCAGCAGCAGAAGGTCACAGCTATAGCGCGCTAAAGGGGAGCAGCAGCAGCACGAGCAACAGCTCTACGGTCAAAGTAGTGAGCTGGTGGCCGTGGCTGGCGGCAGCAGGTGGGCGCTGCTGCTGCTGCTACTGCTGCGGCTGCTGCTAGCGCCGACACGGCTCTTTCAAATGCAAAAGTATAACAATGTAGACGAGACAAAGTGATTCATGTTGCAAGTTGTATGTGTTATATACAAGAGCTAAGATATGAGTGAGGGGCAGCGGCGAGCTGGGAGGGCAAGAGAGACCGTGCAGAAGGCTAATGTACACCCAAAAGAAGAAGAAGCTATATGACCTGAAGGACCCACAAACTAAGAAGTTTGTATTGTGGGTAATTAAAAACAAGTACTCTTCATTCAAACAATCAATTAAACAAAAGTAAGTGCAAAACGCCACCGCTCTGCAGCAGGACCAGCCAAGGAAGGAGGGCCCCATCAGCCCCCTCCAGGCAACGAGCGGCCGCCATCACCTGAAGGCTTTGTTCTTGTCTACTTATCTTTAATAAAAAATAAAAAAGATATTTAGTTAATGTGCACTGTTACATTTTTCTATTCCTATCAACATCCCCCTCATACCTAGAAGACCCTAATAAACGCCAAGGTGCAACCCGCGGTGATCGTAGGGTGCCCCGATCGCCGTAAACCCTAAACCCTAAACCCTAAACCCTAAACCCTAAACCCTGAGGACTTCTAAGCATTAAATTAAAATCAATGAATGCATATTTAAAGTGTGTATTGCTACTTATCTCCGTAAAGATCATCAGGTGCTGGTGGAGTGCTCCCCGTGATTAGCTGAGGCAGCGCGCTGCTGCACTCTTCTTCGTCACTCTGTTGGTCGGCGTACTTGTACTCCATGCAGGGTGAGGGCTGAGCAAGTGTTTAGCAGCTATCCTGCATGCATGTGCATGCAGCAAGTTACATGCACCTGCACGCACGACAGACACTTGTGTTCCGTACATGGTTAGCCTGAAACTGGTACACGTACTTCTGCTTCCGCGTATACTGGCTATTGCAGGCCGCGTCAGCACTTAACAGCTGTCTACATTGTTATTGTATACATGGATGTGGTTTGTATGCGCTTCTTGCAAGTGGGTAACCTTACAGCACGAGTTTCAGCAACCTGGTTTGCACCGAATAGCAGGCTGCTGCCTCCCCCGCACCATCCCATGGCCCTTGAGCCGCTGTATCCAGGCTGGAAAAATATTGAAAAATATTGAAAGCGAAGGCAGCTGCTCTGCGGTTTGCACCCCCCAGATATCCTCTGGTTAGATCGACGAGTGACGTTACAAGCGGCAGCAGCCCCTGGCTCAGATGGCTACAAAGGAACTGCAACTCCCGTTCTCTGTATCTGGGGGGATTGATGCACAGCAATGACTCGTCGTAGATGTGCTTTGCCAGAAAAGGTGAAAAGTGTTCAGTTTTTATCATAAAAGTTTCAGTAAAAGATTCAGCATCGTCTCACTCAAAAAAGAAACACGAATCAGTATACAAGGAAGCGATCAGATCAACCGCTGAGTGCGTTTTCGTGTAAAAGCAAATACAGCTCACGCAGTCCATGCATTCATAAAGAAAGCCTCCACCTATGCGAATATCTAAATACGATACGCTGGGCGTCGCGATACAGGCGGAATGCTGGGGTTATTTGCTTCTGTTGTGTTGCACTTGCTGTTGAAGTACAGTTCATCAGAAAGCTACGCAATATATCAATATATCTAAATATATATATATATATATATATATATATATATCAATATATCTACTCTATATCACAACAGATGATAAAAGAATTGTAGAAATGTGTGCTGAGGAAACAGCTGATGTAAATGAGAAAACGAACATGGCGCCATGATACGGGATTTCTACGTCGCGTCAGTTCATCACAACATAATATTTGCATTCCTTCGGTGACTCAGTATAGCAGAGCGTGCAGAAAACAGATGAGTCTGTTGCTGTGTGTGTCTAGATGCTCCTTGAAGCAATGGGTAAGGGAATACCCCATCACTACCAGCAGGAGTTTCATTCTTAGCGGTAAAAGGAACAGAATCACAGTCCCAAGAAGAAAAATTATTATACACAGCAGATACACTGAAGGAAACAAAAGAAAAAAGTGAATGCAGTTCATGGATCATCTCAAGACGGCCTGAAAAGGACCCTATATTTTTGTACTATTCATAAAGCACGGCCGGAAACTCACCCTGAATCTACTTGAACGCCGGCTAGCTACATCAGTACATGTTCTGCAAATGTATACAGCATCATCACATGTATCAAATGGGGCGTAACTATGATTGTATATGGAGTTTCCTTGCAGTACAAGTTACAGCTAGCGGTCCTACCATGATGATAGTGATGTATAGCTTCCTCTCCGAACGCTTTCCAGGCCTGTGTTCTACGGAGCCCAGTACTACTGGTTACTAGAGGAGATGTTATATGCTTTTGTGTTGCTCTGAACTTGAATATATTTCAGTATACTGCAGCTCACGAGTACCCCTGGCTCAGGCGTAGGCCTCTCGCTACCAACATCTCCCCCGGGCCCGTTTCGAGGCTTTCAGAGCGCGTACCATGCACACATATATGCAAGCAAGGAACCTAATACTGTTTTTTATTGAGGACTTTTTCGTGTTGCAACTGAACAAACCACCAGGCGACGACGACAGCAGAAGGATGCCGAGAAAGAAGCCCGCTCCTTGCGGAGCGCACACCTCACTACAGTGAGGCATTGTTAAAATTAGAGACTTGGGCCTCTTAAATCAATAAACAATAAAGTAGAGAATAGGTAGCAACTGTACAGGTAAAAACGAGAAAATATCCTGGGGCCTCTGATGCAGCACGGGGCCCGGGGGTGGAAGGGGGGGGTGTTGCTGCAGCAGCCCCATGAAGCTGCGTGACACGTGCTTTTTGTTTTTCATTAGATGTTTAATATATTGGCAGAATAAAAACCACAAGTTGGTAATGAAAATACACTTGTTGGAGCTAGGCAGTCAGTAGCAGCTGCAGGTGTAATACATGACCGGAGGCAGCAGCCGCATTGGTGGTTACAGCTTGATTTCATATTGTCTTTTTCTTTCCTTTTCCGATTGTATTTAATCAAATATCTTCTTTAAGGAGAAGACAACAAGAATATTCGTCATAGACTTGCCTTCGGTCTGCCTCCCTCGCTCTGTGGCCTTGAGGCGCCTCACCGTCACCTCTCAGCTGGAGGGGTATATTTCTTTGCTTTTCTTTGTTTGTCTCAACCTTCTGTCGTTCTATACTTTTGCAAATACCCAACGCACCACAAGAGCTGCAGAAGGAGTGCTGCCCGCTGCTCAGAGAGGCAGCAGGGGCCCCCTTGTCCTGTTGCTGCTGGATATCTGCTCTTCGCTTCAGGGCTTCTTACGCGCTGCAGCAGCAACCAACAACAACAACAGCAGCAGCAGCAGCACCGGTGGACCACTGGTCTGCTGGCTAGTCTGCTCCTGCACACCGGTGCGCCATGTCCCCGCCTGCGTTGGCCCCTTAAAAACAACTGGAGGCCCCTACATCCTGCCGGAGCTGATTGGTGGTGGGGTTGTTGTTATTTGCCGCTTCTCCTCATTGATATATATGTAAATGAGGAGCCCAAGGCTGGCACAGGGAGCAGCAGAGGGGGGCCCCCGAGGCGTGGGGGTCGCCTCATCCTCCTGTCTGCGTTTGTTTTCTTTTATAAGTAATTTTTTTGATGGTGAAATGACATTCGAGGAGAAGCTGCTGCTGCAGCAGCTAAGAAGGCTGGCGGCTACTCCCTATGACAAAGACAACAAAACCCATGAGCAGGTGATGCTTCTATTTCAGCTTCTCTTTGCTTGGCTTGCTCTCTGCCTCGCTATACACTGCAGCCTTCAACGCCTTCTTTCTGCATATGCTCGCATATATATGTATTAACCGCACACACACATATATATGTACATATATGCATATATACATATATGTATACATATACATTATATATATATATATATATATATATATATATATATATATATATATATATATATATATATATATATATTCCTTCTGTTCTGTTAGCTCGTCTTGCCTGTGTACTTGTTTCTTTCCTCTGTGTCTCTTTGTACACTCCATCATCTTTTTCTTCTTTTTGATAGCGATTTGTGTGTTTCTTTGCATTTGTCTCTTATCCCTCACTTTCTTCTATTTCTCCTTCGCACTTGTTAGTTTGTTGCTGCGTCGGGCTAACATGCCTGCAGCAGCAGCAGCAGCAGCAGCAGCAGCAGCAGCAGCGTGTTGTGTTTATGTTTGTATGTATATCGCGATCATCTTTTGTTTCTATGAAACTAAGAAATTTAATATGAATAATAAAATATAATAGTAACAATTATATTTTATATTTTATAGTAATAATAAACACAATACTGATGAATATAAACTAATACAAAATTATGTATATACGGCTTCTTTATTGTATTCTTATCTCCATAGAAACATGCTAGCAACCCAAACCCTAGTACATGCATCTGCATATGTTGAGCCGATATATAATATTTTTTTTTTCATTTGTATAGAGTCCTAGGGTTTAGGGTTTAGGGTTTAGGGTTTAGGTTTTTGGGGTGTATATGCAGCTTCTTCACCGCTTTTTTGTTCTTTGTTTCCCTGAGGCTGCGGCGGAATCCTTTAAAGAAGAAGATCCTCGATGGCGAGAAGTTGGCTTTCAGGTGATTTTATTTAATATATATATATATATATATATATATATATATATATATATATATATATATATATATATATATATTATTTAATATATATATTTAATTAATTATTAATATATTATATATTATTTAATATAATAATAATTAATTATTATTATTCCGTTATTTATTTATTTATTTATTTATTATTTATTTATTTATCTACTTGTTTACTTTTTTTGTTTGTTTGTCTGTTGCTGCATCTTGCACACCTGTTGACGATATTTTTTTTTTTCGTTTTCCCCTCTATCAACGCATAATATTTTTATCGTTTCTGATCTCATTTCTCATTTATTTTTTCTTTTTTTTTTAATTTTTTTTTTTGTTTTTTCTCAGAGTGCAGATCCCCGTCGTGATTTTCGTGGTGGTGGTTTGTTGGCCCTGGAGAATCTGTGTTTCTTTCGTCTTCATTACCCCTTTCAGTTTGAGGCCTTTGCTAGAAAAAGCTACGAGGCGGGGTTCCCTATGGCGGCTGCATTCATAAACGTTACTGTTAGACATACTCACTGCTTCGCTCCTGCTGCTGCTGCTGCTGCTGCTGCTGCTGCTGCTGCTTGTGCACTTGCTGCTGCTGTACTTTTCTGCTGCTGCTGCATTTGCCGCTGCTGCAGCAGTTGATCGTCTGCTCGTTTGGGCGCTTAAGCAGCAGCTGCTGGTTATAGCACTGAAGTTCGTTGTTGCTGCTGCTGCGTTTCCTGCTGCTGCTGCTGCTGCTGTGTGCAGCACATGCTGGCTGCTTATCTCCGGCTAACAACACCTACAGGTTTAGGTGGCAGCGAACCGCAGGCCCCTCGTCGGGCGCTGCGTAACTTTTTGCGTCTTTGTTTGAGTGCTGCTGCTGCTGAGGAGGAGACAGAGGAGCATATGCAGTCAGGTGCGGGGCGCATGGGCAGCAGCCCGTCCAGCCTGCAACTGCAGCAAAAGCAGCAGCAGCAGCAGCAGCAGCAGCAGCAGCAGCAGCATGAGCAGGAGGAGCAACGGGAGCACCTCTCGTATCCCCTTCTACTCTCGACTGCATTTGGGGATATATGACAGCTGGCGTTGTGTGTTTGTGCTGTTGTTGCTGTGACGTTTGTTGCGGTGTACAGACACCAGCGCACTGAGGAGCCCCGGTGCCGCTCCCAACTCCAGCAAGCCCAATGAGGCGTTGCCTTCTCCTCCGTGTTTAACACTACCCCCAGGCCGCCGTCTACGGCGCCGTGGTTCTGATGCGAAGCAGCAGCAGCAGCAGCAGCAGCAGCAGCAGCAACAGCAGCAGCAGCAGGGGGTATGTGGAGAGTATGGTCGTATGATGGAGCGTCGAGCTTTGATTGTATTTGGCCACTTGTTTGTAGCTGCATGCATTCACCTAGATCATGAGCTCGGCCTGAGAGGGGCGTGGCAGCATGAGGGAACGGATCCCCCCCTGCAAGCCCCCAGCCACCACGCAAGTCATCGGCGGCTGCAGGTATCGCTGCAGCACTCGCGGGGCCTCAGCAGGGCCTTGCATCACCGTCAGGGCCACGGCAGCAGAGACACGCTGGCCCCGGGGGAGAGGTCTTATGCATCCTCTGGGGGGGGCAGGCCCTCTCAGGCCTCGAGGGAATCTCTCTTAACACCAACTGAGGGGAGAGGGGGGGCCCCTATCTCCCCCACCAGGTCTCTGCTGGCCCCGGACGACACAGTAAGCTGCCCCACATCAGGAGTTGTATCCGGGGGCACATCGCCGCGGTCTTCAGGCGGACACAGCGGCTCCCAGCAGCAGCAGCAACAACAGCAGCAGCAGCAGCAGCAGCAGCAGGAGGGGCAGCAGGAGCAGGGGCAGCACGGGCAACAGCAGCAACAGCAGCAGCAGCAGGCGGAGGGGCAGCAGGAGCAGGGGCAGCACGGGCAAGCGCAGGAGCCTGCAGCGGCCCCGAGGGAGCCGCAGCAACAGCGACAGGGGGCTGAAGAACCCCCCGACAACCTGCTGCACCGGCGAGCGCAGCTGTGCTTTGGGGAGGCCTTAAAGGAAGTGAGGAATGCTGTGGACGCAGTGTTATGTGATGGGGGCGTGGAGACAGTCTCTGACCTGCAGGCCGTTTGTCGTGGCTGCTGGGCGTAGAGAATAAACACACAACACAACACAACACAACACCCCTTGCACTGCCTCTGCATGCATATATGCATGCACTGTGGATTGATTGATAGCTGGCGTAGGGTTCATGATATACTCTAGGGTTTAGGGTTTGAGGCTTAATTAACCCTTCTTCTGGTGCTGCGCTGGGAGATGAAGCCGCCAGCAGTAGTAGCACTGTATGTAAACCTCCCTAGACACCGTAGCAGGTCTCTTGAGTTCCATATACACCGTAAAGGCCTCGTATTTGTTTTCCCTCAGCCCACGGGCCAGCACGAGAGCCTCGCGGAGACAGCGCACTAGTAGAATAACAGGTTGTTGCTTAACTCTACAGTTGAGGGGCTATATATATAGAAAAGGCCATATATATATATATATATATATATATATATATATATATATATATATATATATATATATATATATAT